ATGGCCCTTGTGGTCTCTTCCAGCTCTATGATTCTATGATTCTATGGTGACCCTATGAATGAGAGTCCTCCAAGTCAGTTATCAACAGCCCTGCTCAGGTCTTGCAGACTCAGAGCTGTGCCTTCCTTGCTTCTTTAATACAGTCTTCCTCTTTTCCTACTGCCTTCTGTCTTATCAAACATTATTGTCCTTTCTAGTGAGTCAAGCCTTCTCATCAGTTGTCCTAAACACATCAACTTTCAGTTTAGTCATCATGGCTTCTAGTGAAAATTCAAGCCTGGTTTACTCTTTTCCTTTTTGGCAGTCTGTGGGATTCATAGAACACACCTCAAGCATCATGTTTCTAAAGAGTTTATTTTCCTCCCATCAGTTTTGTTGTTTGTCCAGCTTTCACAGATAGTTAGAATCTGGAAATTGTTTTCACTAGTTTTAAAATTGTCTGCTTCTAATATAATTGTTTTAATATAATTTTAATCTTTTAAAACTATTGTTATTTATTGTCTTACATTGATTTTTATTATACATCACCCTGAGATCCTTGCATATAGTGTGGGATATAAACATTTTAATGAATGGATGAATGAATAAATACATAAATAAAGCTGCATCCATACTGCAGAAATAATCCAGTTTGACACTTTAACTGCTATGGCTCAATGCTATGGAATTCTGGGAATTGTAGTTTGTTGTGGCACAAGAGCAGAGTTCTCTGGTTGAGGATTTTAAATGGCCCTCCATAAACTTCCAATCCCAGGATTCCATAGGATGCAACCACATCAGTTCAAGTGGAATCATGGTGCCTAAATACCCTGAAGACACCAGGTCCCATTTGATCTTGGAAGCTAAGCTGGGTTGAGCCTGGTTTTGATTCAGATGGGGGACTACCAAGGCAGGGTGAGCAGATGTCATAACTGTAAAGGAGGACAAGGCACTGAAAAATGTAGGACATTTAAGAAAAATGTGGGGCATTAATGAATAAAAGACAAAAACACTCATATAAATGTAAATTAATGCTTTTTAGTCATGCTCGAAATGGAGGACATTTTGGAATTCCTCCTGGACAGAAGGTTGAAATGTAGGATATGTCCTGGAAAAAGAGGATATCTGATCACCCTGCACCAAGGTGACATTTTAGAGGAAAGTATTGGAAAGTCAGAAGTGATTTGCCTTTTGAAATTCATGGGATTGCCATAAGTTGACAGGGGACCTGAAAGCATGTGCATACATGCACACTTGTTCTTGTTGTGTGCCTTCAAGTCACTTCCGACCCATGGCAACCCTAAGGCATCCCTATCATGGGGTTTTCTTGGCAAGATTTGTTCAGAGGGGGTTTGCCATCATCTTCCTCTGAGGCTGAGAGCATGTGATTTGTCCAAGGTCACCCAGTGGGTTTCATGGCTGAGCTGGGATTCAAACCCTGGTCTCCAGAGTCATGGTCCAATGCTCAAACCATTATGCCACTCTGGGTCACATATGCACACACAGTGCTGTAATTGTGCAGTGTGAAAGGCCAATATAATTCTTTATTTTCATAGTATGTTGTTGTTGTGTGCCTTCAAGTTGTTTCCGATCCCTAAAGTGAACCTATCATGGAGTTTTCTTGGCAAGATTTGTTGAGAAGGAGGGTTGCCTTTGCTTTCATTTGAGGCTGAGAGAGTGTGACTAGGCCAAGATCACCCTGAGGATTTCCATGGCTGAGAGTGGGAATTTGAACCCTGGTCTCCAGAGTCATAGTGTAACACTCAAACCATTATACCTCTTTGTTTTCTATATGTTACCATGAAATTGGTTGTTCATGGAGACTGGTGTTCTAGCCACTTGTTGCAAGAAATATGGGAGATGAAGGGACACATTATGCAGATACTGGTATGATACTTTTTAAAATGACAGCTCCCAGAGTTTCACCAGCATCGTGCCCTCATGACTTTGTATTTCCAATCTACTCATTACAGGTCTTATCCTCTTGCTCAAAGAGTGAAGTCTCTTAAAGGCCCAGATTCCTGGTGTGAAGGTGGGTGCTTCTTCTGAGCTTTTTATTATTATTAATAGAAGTCTGCCTATATCGAATGGCTTCCTATATTGGTTAGGCATGGCACTGCAGCATTTGGTTTTTCAAGCTCAAGGAATGCTTTTTGATGCATGAATGTGTGGGAGATCTGGTCCATTTTTTTAGCCCACAGCTTCTCCTACATCTTGTAGTGTACTACTACTACTACTACTACTACTACTACTAATAATAATAATAAAAATATATCTCTTAGAAAGAAGCACCTTGCAGTTTGATAAAGAGGCTGTATTCTGGCCTTGAGGAAAGTTGTTGTTGTGTGTGTTCAAGTCATTTCTTATGGTTGTAAGAGATAAAAAAATAATGTAAAAGAAACTACAAAGCTCATGGCTAATTCAGGGCTGGATTGGATGATTCTTGGGGTCTCATTTTTCTGTGTTTAAAACTTTGAATTTGCAAGGCAGTTTGTAAAAGGCTTTCAGTTCTGCTTCACTGAAATGGAATGTTGTTTTTTTGGCTTTGAAGGCAGACAGCTTCACAGCGTAAGAGATAACATTGATGTAAAAGGGAGAAAGCCAAAATCGTTCGCGCATGGCAAGTAGAAGTGTAACGTAATCAGGAAAGGAGGGGGTTTGGAATTATATCTTGTAACCAATGAAAATCTTGAATTATGCATGTGTTAATATAATTATAAGTTAGCTGTGTAAGATGGTATATGAGGATGATGATTAACTGAGGGGGGGTCGCTCTCTGAGAGGCCCGTGGACAAATAAACTCTACTTTCCTGACTTCTGAGGTCTCTGTTCCTGTTTATCCACAACATGGTGACCCTAAGGCAGGGGTAGGCAACCTTTCCCCTTTAAGGGCTGAGGGAACTGCAGCTCCCAGAAGCCTCAGCCATGTTGTCCAATAGTCCCATATTGGCCAATAGCTCCTGGGATTCTGGGAGCTGAAGTCCCTCGGCCCTTAAAGGGGAAAGGTTGCCTATCCCTGCCCTAAGGCAACCCTATAATGGGGTTTTCTTGGCAAGATTTGTTCAATGAAGATTTGCCTTTGCCTTCCTCTGAGAGAGTGTGACTTGTCCAAGTTCACCCATTGGATTTCCATGTCTTAGTGGGGAGTTGAACTCTGGTCTCCCTAGCTGTAGTCCAACACCATTACACCATGGCTGGGAAAGACAGAACCACAAATCCTGTTAGAACTGTATAGATCTTGGGATCTAAAGATGGTCAGCCCTGGATGGGAGACCACCAAGGAATACCAGGCTATATTTCAGAAGAAGGAACTGGCAAAAGCATCTGAGTATTCCTTGCCTAAGAAAACCCTAGGAAATTCATAGGGTCACCATAAGTTGATAGGCCCATAAACACACACAAATCACTCACATTTCAAAACCCATATACTTTTTATAAACAGCTTC